GTCTATGATAAAGGGTTCACCAATTTCACAAATCAAAGGTAAATTTATCAAAATCTAAAGATTAATATAAAACAACATTGAACAATATTAAACATCTGAGCCCTTTTAATGTGTTTTCTTTTTTTCATGGTACAACACAAACTTTTTTTACATTTTGCCTTATGTGTTTAAAATGTCATTGCACCTGCTGTGCGACATGAACAGGACATTTCTTTTCAGTTACCATTCAAACCGCTGAGCACAGAAGGCAAAATCTTGAATCAAACAATTTGATTGTATACATGAAAGAGCTAGGCTGGTTAGTGATGTTTAAGTGCACAAGTTAGCTAATAAATTAGGCCTGTCAATGTCTACAGTGATTAGCATTGTTGACTTTTTAAAGAGAAAGTCTTACATCTGTTTTCCTGATGCTGTCTCTACTTTCCCCATCAGAAGCTCAGACAGAAGTAGAGGAGCTGAAGAGAGAGATTGTGGAGCTCAGGGAGAAAGTGCAGGAGGCTGAGAGAAAGCCAGGTAAGAAGAACACACTGGCGCCACCGCATCTGAACGTTAACACTCGTACCTAAATCAGTGCTGCACAGTTGGCTGTTTATGTGATTAGAAAATGTCTGTTTACATACTGTAGGTCCCTGATGGTTGCCAGTAATGTTAGCCTGCTTAACCGACTGGAAGTGAAGGACATTTAAAGTGACAGTAAGGAAAGGAGATGCCGATCTTACACAGATTAGCATTGCACACACCCCTGGGATTGAAACCATTTTTTTATTTATTTATTAAAATCTGGTCATTACTACACTACATGTATTTATGTCTATTACTTGTCCTAGTCTGCTTGATAGACGGTTATTTAAAAGAATCTCTTAATGGTGTTTGGTTAATTCAAACAATAACAGAAAAGGCAATCCATCCATGTAGGGTTTTGTATAAATATGTGCCCAGGACTATTATGTTAAATGATTTTAGGGAAGGAAATGTTAGTGACGGGTTCATGGTGCAGACCCTGGATCAGCAGCTTCTCGGCTGCTTTTTTATTCCTATTATGTTTATTTTTAGCTCAGTTTTGTCTCCGTCTGCTTTGTGTCCTGCAGTCAAGTGAATGCATGAAGGTTCCAGCTGCACTTTGACCTTATTTCTATCTATGCCTTAGGGCTGCTGAGCTGTACATTCATGCACTTTGCTAACACAGACACTAAATCAGGAGCAGGAAACCAGGTTAGGAAATAGACTCAACATGAAGTGTCAGTTCAACGATGCTCTAACTATTGTCTCAGACCACCAGTGCTCTTTCTAAAAGGAGAATATATAAAAATCGAATTCTGACACTCACAACCACACCCGCCCAGCAGAGGTTTGCCAATGTTTCTTTATTTATTCCAATTAATTATGACAAATCTTGAACACACACAAAGAGAGCGCAAGAACAACAACAAAACACGCTCCATGCATCAGGGCACAAAATACAATTATAGTTATTAGAAAAAGAAAATAGAGATGGTGACGTTATTGTTTCTACACATTAAAGATGCAGTTTTTGGCATTAAGCACAGAATAAAAATATATGCAGTTGCGATGCTTGCATAAAAAACTAAACAATAGCTGCAATATTTGAAGATGTATCTTTTGACAGCGACGCCGTCAAATGATAAATATTGTGGGATCACTGGCTGTTTAGTCCATTTGAAATAAGTCATACAGCTGCAAGATAGAAGCCACAGAAGGTTCCAGAGTTACTCTGAATGAATGAAGCTGGGTGCCACTAATGATATTTGTTGAATAATTTCTTTGAAATTGGCCCTGGTTGGTTGCCACACTTGGTTTCCATTAATAACCTACTCTACATAATCCTTTTGAATGATGGGAAAAAATATGCATCTTTAGTTACGGTTTGTTTTTATGGCTGAGTTTACAAACGTGCAGTGGATTCTGGGATATGTTAGGCTGTGTAGTCAGTGCAGTTTGTAGGTGGCCAATAAGACTTCTTCTAGTAGTATCTCAGCCAGTGCAGTTTGTAGGTGGCCAATAAGAACACGTACTTCTTCTAGTAGTATCTCAGTATTGTTGCCACCTTGTGGTCATGTGCTAAAGAACATAGTCTCTCATACTTGTTTGGACTATTAATGTTCAGTTTCTGTCAGTTGTCTTAAATATGTCCCACAACCTTTTTCTGTCAGTTAAGCAGAGGTCTTTTTGAAATCTGTAGAAGTACTAGTAACATCTGGGGCTTCACGCTGGCAACCGTAGTTTTAAAGTCAACAGATCCATGTAGCTTTTGTACGTGCATGGCAAAATAATCTTTCTAGGAAGGATTCAAACTTTTGATCGTTTACAAATTCCCTTTGTCTCCTGTTGTTAGGCCTGTTGCAAATCAATAAATCATTAAATGTATTTAATAGCTTTACCGAATAGTTTGTTTTGTGTAACTGTAAAATGTAAAGTTGATACACTGTGTATGTTAATATAGAGCAGTACAAGACTATCTTTATAGCACAATTTTAAACTCGATTTTTTTTTTGTTTGTTTTTTTTTTTTTTTTTTTTTTTTGAGCAGGAAAACAAATCACTCCAGTAGTCTGTCCTCACAGCAGGTCAGTAAAGACGCGACGAACCGCTGCGGTCGTTTACACGCTTTTAAAAATCCAACGTCATATAGATAACATGCACAAAGTACAGCATTACAAAAAAATATATAAACAAACAAAGTCAGTGTCATAAGTTAAATGGCTAATACATTTTAGAATATACACAGTCTTTTTACCACAAATATATTAGAATTACTGAATAGAAATTTGATTAGGGATATGAGTAATAATACAATCTGTCAACCAAGGTCATCTACTGTGGTCAGAGCTTCCATCAGCTGAAGTCATATATTTAATAAAAAAAAAAATCCATGTTTATATCTGTCTGTTTGTACGTACAATAACTTTTAAGAACTCTAAAAAAAATGGAATGTTTAAATGAATGACTTTAGGTGTTGTAAGCAGACAACTTTGTTCACATGGTCACAGAAGCGAGCAGATATTAAAGGCCACAGGCCGGAAAATGTTTGTTGTGGGCGCCGACATGTGGTAGAAGAAGTTGACAATTGAATTGTACTTTTTAAGTATGCAGGAATACGTTTAAGTTTGCAGGAATTCTGCAGTTGATTTTAATGGTCCACAGGAAGTGGTGTGTTCATCCGCAATGATACTGTCCTCTGCTGCCATTTTCACCTTTCTGGTGCCAATATTTACCAGTTAAGGAAAACAGAGCTAGTAGATGACAGTAAAAACAAATGGAAGAATGCTGGGCATGAATGTGAATGGTTGTTTATAGTTGTCTCTGCATGTGGGCCTGTGGTGGCCAGCATGGTGGAGTGACGTCTATGTCCTGTAGGAGGAGCTAGTCTTTAAAGCAAAATGTTATATTTTGCTTTTTTTTTTTCTCAAGGAAACGGCTGTGACCAATTCTAGATTCATGTTGAACATTAGTATACCAGAGCATTTAACCAAAGGATTATGGCTTTCACACACAAGGATAATTAAAAAACAGTGTCTTAAATATTTGCCAATTATCTTGAAAAAAATTCAAAATTCAAAAGTGCTGGAACGGGACATATGTGCACTGAAGGTTTAAAAAATTCACCGTTTCCCCCGTTTTTATTTTTCTTGGCATTTTGGTTCTTGTGCTCAATAAATATATCAAGGTACTATAACAACAAAGAGCTTCTGTTTTCAAAGCAAAGAAGGTTCTGTTTGTTCACTTCAGTATTTGGCAGTAACTTGTTCTTATACAGGAATGTACCAGCTAGTGATAAACTTGTTAAAATACATGTAAACAATTTTCCAGTTTTCAAAACTGACAAAGAGAGGAACTAAAAACTTCTCTTTCTTTTACTCACACATACATACAGGAGACACACACCAAACAAACGGGTTGGAAAAATATACATTTTTTTTTCTGTTGTGCTTCCTTTCAGTACTCTCCTTTTTTTAAATAGAAAACGATCCTTTCAGTTGATCAAATGTTAATTTCATCGTCTTCACCCTCACATGGGTTTCCCCGCGGTGGGTTTAGTGACTTTCTTTTCATACGACCCTTGATGCTTGTATCCCGAGACGTATCCGGAAGTGTCAACTATATCTACTCGTCCGGCCTTACCCCTCCCACGACCACTTGGATCAAAACGCTCCTTGTGCGACCCTGTAAACTTGGTGGTGTCTGTCAGACGGCTTACTGTTGGAGAAGCCACCGCTCGCTGTGAGAAATGAAACGCGCAGTTTTTTCAAGTGATTCATATTCAAAAACATTGGGATTCTTTCTCTTTAAAGTCTTACCGTGACCCCAGCAATGACCGGCGCCTTTCCTTCAATCAGCTTGACCACCTCAGCCTCAGCGTCCTCTCCTGTCTTGTCTTTGTATTTCTTCCTGGCCAGCTCTCCAAGTGCACATTTAAACTCGTCAAATGTGATGGTTCGACTGGATTTCTTTCTGGAAGTTGGACAGAGAAGAGAGAAAATACAATTGTCAATTAAAAGAAAGTCTGTCCTGTTGTTGTTTGACTAAATCAGAGGACATACAGTATGATCCAGGACCACTGTAGGTGTCCTGCTCGGTAGTCAAAAGTTTAACATAACCTGGCAAATGATTTTGTCCCCAAATGCCCAAATTATCATATCAAGTGCAAAGCAACACTTGGATGGTAAGAAAGTCGTCTGTGGTGGAACATAGTTCTAAAAGCCTCTCTCTCCGCTTCTAAAAAATGTATTTATTTTTGTGTGACAGAAAACAATTTGTTTTTTGAAGTAGGTTATTCTTCAGGAACAGTATAAAAGCATGAAACAGAAGCAGAGAGAAGTGAACTCACTGACATGTGATCAGTGCAGTGTTAGACATAAGGCAGCACAGCAGTGGTATCCTGCTGACATAAACAAGAATACTTCACTGTTTGGATTTTATCTCTCGGTGTGTTTCAGGACTAAACTGTCAGACTCGTGCGCACGCCGCTGCTGGATTGTTTAGTCGTGTCACTTTATTCACCTGCAGTATCCAAAGGGTTGTTTAACATCTTCTAGGTTTTTCATGAGGGCATTAAAACTTACTGTGACCAGTAGTTTCACATTTCCATTTGAAAGGCCCAGGTTTTTTTTTTAACCACTAACCAAAAACATGCCCCAAATTAATCTTTCTCTTCCAGTTAGTGCTACAGTTGTTTAAATGGCCCTTTGCCCAGTTGGCTTTGGTCAGAAGTGCATAGTAACACAAACACAAACAGCCTCTGTTGTGGTGATAAATTATGTCAACAACTGCTCAGAAATCCAGGCGTCTCTCTGGGCGACCGGCTGTCATAGCAACCAAACTACAGTAAACAGGGATGTTTGGTTTAATTATTATGATTATTAACATTATTTGAACGGTTGGACTCAGGTGATCTGTCAGTGTCAAACAAGGGAGCGCCAGTTCTGTGTGTCGGTACAACGCTGTCTATTGTCGGAGAGGAAAAGGGACTTCCAGCTGCTGTTCATGTCCAAGGAGGACAACTGTGACTTGTGCAGTGTATTTTCAAATCTCCATGAGGAACAAATAGTTAAGCAGCTGTGTATTTGCTGTGGAGACTAAATCTACGGTATGAGGTCAGAGAAGGACTGATGGTTGGTTGTTGAGTGGAGCTGTATTTTAGTTCAGGACGATGTCGATACAACAGCAACATCCATCACAACTATATAGCTGACTGAAGTAATAAATCTGTCGTCCATATTTAGCAATGTTAATTTATCGTGATTAATTTGTGATTAATTTCAACCAGGAAAGGGTGTGGCAAGGAAAATCAGTCGTTTTCAAAAGTTGTCCCACAGTGTGGAAATTGCACAAGAAAAACAGCAATTAAAAAAAAAAGAAAATCAAGTGTTATAAAATGTGTTCAGCTGATTCCTTACAAATGTGGACAGAGCAGAAAAGGTTTGGGAGCCACCGACTAATTGAAAGTGAAGTTCATGAACTCTCTGTTGCTCAGTGTGTTTCTTATATCTGTTTTTTTTTCTTTTAAGCTAAATGTTCTGTGAATTGGAAGAACATGGGAATAACTCGACGTAGCAACGTGAACTCACTGTCAACTCAAAGATCAGGACATCTGAACGGTGTTTATGGCACCTCTGCACCTGTCTACCTTTGGATGTCTCACTGAGAGACATTTAAACACAGTCAGAATTTAAACCCCCGACCTTCTGGTTGATAACAGCGCCTCCTTAGTGATTAGCTCCAAGCTCAGACCCTTTGTGTTCTGTGCTTCTTAAATTATTGCAGGTTTCTGATAAGGACATGATAAGATACTGAAAACTGACTCACGACACAGAGGACTTCACTCTGACCACATGACTTGAAAACAACATTCGATAATTGTCTTTTATCCTTAGGTGTGATTTTAACATATAAAAAATTCTAAAGTACTCATAAAAATCAAATGGCAAACTCTAACATGGACTAAATTTAACCTTTTTTTGCCAGCTGTACAAGAGATTCTCACTTTGCGATGTCTCCAACCTAGGGCGTTTGTGGTTACGTCTCCATCTCCCATAAGTTTGTTAAGAAAGTCTTGTTCCATAATTCCAATGTAAGGTGATAAATCTCACCAACTAGTTAGTGCAGGAACCAATGTTACCTACTTGCTATAATTTCCAAGCAAAGCCTGCGATAGTTCTGCTTTATTTATTTACCTTCGTATCACTTAGCTTAGCTCAGTGGCAGAAAGGGGAAACTGCATTCAGTCGGCCATGCTTGTAGCTCTTGTCTTCAGAAAAATGTGAGGATGTGTGGTTTCTAGCCATTTTTTTTCTACTCGTGCTGACTAGTCGAAAAATGAGTCAATTCAAAACAAAGCTTAAATTTACTGCATGTGTGTTGTATTCTGTGTAAGAGTCTCATCACGCAACCTTCAGACTTCTGTTGTTCTGTGAACAGCTGCATAAACTTTGTCCGCCCGTTGGAAAGGCTGATATTTATTTAAGGTGTGAATAACATCTGCAGTCTTTTGTTGATGTCAAATCAACACAGCTGTACAGATGAAAGTGTTTCTCTTGTGGCAATATAACACTGAGGTTAGAGCTTATAAAAAGTATTACCCAATGTTCTGAACCGGGCCACAATGTGGAAAAACTGTTGGGTCAGGGGGTGTAATTTTGACATTTCTTAAACCAAAGTAATCAAACCTGTTGTCATCACTTTCAACATAACAGTTTTGTTCAACCATGAGACAATGAGAGTACAAACATGTTGTGGCAGATCCACACCAACAGGTTTGACCGAGTTCAGACGCAGCCGTGCTGAAAACCAACGAGACGAAAAATCAATTCACGACATTTAGTCTGTACCAACAGTGAGATCATTGGTAATTATAAACAATTACTGAACAAATTTTCATTTTATTACATGTGAACGTGTTCTGCTCTGTTGGTCACAAGATGACACGGAAACAAAATGTGCCGCCTCAGGCTTTTGTCACTTTTCTTACTTGACTTTGCTGAAGACGATGTCCACGTCTGTCAGGGTGATGCTCTTGCCGTCAATCACGCCGCAGTCTTTGCAGAGTTTGGACCAGTTCTTGCCGTGCATTTCCTTGCCAGTAGCACGTGTGTCGCCGTGGATGGCGAAGCGCTTGAAGGACTCTTCCAAAGCTGTCACCTCCACCGGTGTGGAGGAACCCTGTCCTCCCTCACTGGTCCCGTTGGACTCGGTGGACAGCCTTTTGGACGCTCGGTCTTTCGAGTGTTCGCTGTGCGGTCGCAGGGGAGCTGAGCTCATGTTTGGATGCTTGGCTGTTTGGACTTTGAAGTCGTTCATGTTGTCCCTGAGAAGGAAGTTGTGAAAACATCATCGGACCAAACATTCACTGTAGGACATGAGCTGAGACGTCAAGTATCTATCTATCATTAATCACTTTAATCAACAATAATTAATATGACAAAAAACAGAAAGACAAATGTTAGCCAGCAGATGTGTGTTTCACACCTGGTTTTTATTTGTGACTAAACGAAATTAAGAAATTATTGATGTGAAAAAATGTGAAATATTTCTTCATCAGAATTGGTGGATTTCAGGGAAATGTTTTGCAGAACCTGTCGAGAGTCGTGAAGCCGTTGTCCTCAACCATACCAGTTAGTCTGGAGTCCCTAACACTTTATTTGATAATCGTGTCAGTCAGCTGGTCAGTCGTAGACTTACTGACTCACCAGACACCTTTTTGATTAACATCTGTCTCAGAACTTTTTGACTCTAGCATGGGACAAAAGGACAGTCATTATACCCTGGACTCAGGAAGGAAAGATGAGTGTAGAGTATGATGTCACTCTGTTCCACTGCACTCACAGGTGACACATGACAGAGAGTGAACACTTGGACACAGTGTCAGAATTATTTGTAAAGAACTCTGAGTTTCCAGGCTCCTGCGCTGCCTGTGAATTGCCAGCAGGTGTCTTCTGTGTTGAGTTCTGGCACAGAGGTGTGGGCTATGAATAGAGTTCTTTGGAAATTTAACAGAATCTAACTGAAGAAACACGAGAGGAAACGGATGTTCAAGTAACAAAAAAAATCTGAACATGAAGGCTCCTTTATGAGGTAGTTGGCCTCGAAGACTCACTTGTGCTCTGCCATGCTGGTGGACTCCCTCTGTGCGCTGCCTGGTTTAGAAGATTTCTGTTTTCTTGTGCTGTAGACAAAAAGGGAAAAACTGCAGTTAAACTAAAAGGGGAACTGTTTGTAAGATTTCCACAGAATGATAAGAAATGAGATATTATCTGTAGAGAAGCAGTTTTCTCAATGAAAACGAGTTTGAAAAAGAAAAAAAAAGAAAAAACAACTACAGTATTTAGCGCAAATAATACAAGGGAATATTTCTAATATCAAACTTAGAAAAAGAAACCTTAAACTGGAGTCGTTAAGTGGTTCCAGTAAAGTAAGTTCCACCGCAGGTCAGATGTGATCATTTCATGCGGTGTCTGCTTTGAACCACAGACATGTTGATACACGGACGTCCCTGGCGTCTCCAATAGTTTTGACTACTTTTTAAATCATCAAAAATGCGACTTTGAAAACTTTGAAATTATAACACGTCACATTTTTCACCAAACTTGAACATAAATATTATTAAAATAAAAACAACAGCAGGTTATGTTTTAGCTCCATGGTACAAAAGACATTCCCCTGGAATTCTCTAGAAGGAATTCTCTAATGACACACAACCTGTTTACACTTAAATTATCACTCATATTCACCCTGTAGTAACTCATTCAACACTGTAATCACACAATATACAACATTTGGATTATCATACTATCCACGTCACTAACAAATATATACTGTATACTCTGTCCTCCAGTGTAGTACTTGTATCTGCCAACATGTACACACAACACAGCACAAATACTCCAAATAATCTTCAGTTCCTTTCACACGTGTAAACATTAAAGAAGAGAAGCTCAAGCCAGGAATGAATAAAAATTATAATCAGAAAATATTATAATAAACATGATTAATGTTAAATTAATTTAACGAGCTCTAGAGCATACAACACTGTCCTCCAGTGTAGTACTTGTATCTGTATCTACACATCTAAACACACACTTGTACTTTTCAGGGTAGAACCATTAAATAGTAATAAAAGTATCTCTACAGTTTTTCTACTTACTTTTTAAAAATCCACTTTAACATTAAAGAGCAACAGTTCTCACCTTTCAGCTGTTCCCATACTCAGCTCTGCATCACTAAACGTTACATCACCACCATTCACTCATAGCTACTAGCATTTAGAAAGAGAGTAGTTGGTGCTGTGGACCACAGCATCTACTTCAGAGAGGAGACTTTCACACCAGTCTCCATCAACCGCTGTCACTCACCCCAGAAATGTTTCCACGACCCTGTGACCAGTGGACGTTAACGTGACCCGACTTCGTACAGTCTAAGCCTCTGTGTGTACAAAGGCTGCGGGAATGACACTGTGCACAGCCATTATGTTCACGTCATGTCAATTCTTGTCACTTCTTCTTCTTATTAATCTGTGTGAATAATGGCATTCACAGCAGCACACACTGGCTGCCCTTTGTCCAATAGCGAGTGGCCTTTCTGTCTGACCTATGCCCCTGTCTTCACTCATACACACATGGTGACATCGCCGGGCACCACTATTGATAGAAGGAGATTCTCTAGTCATATGTCATCCAGGATTCCAGCCAAGGGAGTGGAGATGCAGAAGACGAGCCTTTCAATGTGTTGTGTTATATTTTCAATTAAATCTTGTTTTCAGTGATTGGTATTGATAGTCGTGAGCAGAGGTGGCCAAGCATCCCTATGAAAAACAATGACAATTTCTATTACTGTATTTTCCCTAATATAAGTAATGGTTGATTTCAGAGGTTTGTTTGGTCCTGCAACTGATATTAAATCTATGCTATGTCATCCATGACCATAAGAGGGCACCAACTAAACAAAAAATTAGTTCAAGATGTAAAAAGGTCCATACAGCCATATTGATAATGGTAGGTCTGATGACAGCCCAGCAGTGGAAGCAGTGCTGTCTTCCTCTGGAGTTGGTGGAATCGTCTAGTGTCACAGATGATGACTGCATTCAGGACAGATCGGGATCTTTCCAGAACATTTGTCTTTTATTTTTGTGATTTTTTTTTTTAAATAATCAGTGTGACTTATACACTGGTGTGGATCATATGGCATTTTTTGGACAGATGCGACCTATACCTCCAGTGTGTATCCAGAAAATACCGTAATCTTTGTTAGCTATTAATCAGCCAAAGCCACACTGTATGAAAACGCTGCTCTATACTGGCATTTTAATTCACAAATCGTCAACATTCACCTCCAAATATGAATTTTTTTTTTCACAGAGACTTAAAGGTTGATTTATTGTATCTAATGTCACTATTTTGCCAGTGTATTAAAAAAACACTAGAGGGAGCCCATGTACCACCATTGGTACACATACCAGAGTTTGAGAACCACCCATCTAAGACCTGCCTTTGGAAATGTAGTTCCAAGTAGTTCACACATTCAGCCACTGTGTTTCACTGTGAGTCAATGAGTCAATAGCAGTGAAAATCTTAATACAAAGAACTTGTTTCACTCGTCTCCTCCAATTTACAGGCACTCACTTCAAGTGTCTTTGTCCTCAGTCAACGACTCCTTGACCACATTAGCTCCAATACAACACACACAGAGAGAGAGAGAGAGAGAGAGAGAGGCCCTAACACAGAGTAGAGACTGTTTAGTCAACATCATTTTAAATGCCTTTTTTTTTTACTATACAATGTTTTCTGACCTATTTTTCTACATTCACACCAGAAGCCATTTAGTCTGAGGCAGATCTCTGAGGAGAAGGCCCTGATTGGATGACAGTGTATGCTCGCCTTCTGGCGAGCCACTGCACAGATGAGTGCTTTAACTATAAATTGACCTATTTCAAATCTGCATCTATTCATGGCAACAACACGCTTCTTTGACCGGAACATTCTTCTCATTCTCGAGAGAGGAGATCAGCTGGTGGAGAAATTCCTGATCAAAATAACAAACGAGAAATAAATATTATCTTTTTGGTTTAGCTGTAGCTCCTGCAGATGGTGTTTGAAGAACTAGTGTTGTCACAGTGATGGAGTGTGTAAGGCAGAGAGAGAGAGAAGGTTTCATCAGAGGCACCCTCCACCGCGGTGGCCATATGTAGAGAACCATCTGCTTGCATTAGGATTTCCAGATAACTGCTCCTTAATGAGACCATGTCAGTCAGTCTACCATGTAAAATGCTAAACATCAGCGTCAACACTACAGTACAATGGCATACATCTCAAAGGTTACAACCTCACTGTGTGTTTAACTGAATTAGCCAATGACTACACAGCAATGTAATTCAACCACAAAAAAACTAAATTTTGAAAAAAAATTATAATATTTTGTTCTTTAATTCCCTGTCAGAAATAAAATTCAAGGTTAATTCGGAACAAATGAAAAATTATTTACAAAAATGAGTAAAATATTGTTGTAGGTCACTCTATATTCAACTAAATCAAATGTAGATAAGACATTGTCTACATGAAGGTTAGGGTGTAGACGTCATTAGAACAACAACTACCTCTCAGTGGACTCCACGCCTAGGAAATCCAAGGAAAATTTTGTGTAAACGTTTGTAAACTTTAGTTCCAGGTCACACCCGTCCTAAATTTATCCATGACATCAAATCTGCAGAGAGGTTCTGAGGACATCGGTCCACACCTCCCTGAAACCTTTAACTGCTCCGTGAGTCAAACAACTTGGAAGGGATCAGCCTGAAATAAAACAAGAAGGTCGAGGCGAGCTACTGCCGTTGTCACTGGCAGCAGCACCGAGCCAAATAGAGGTATAAGGCAGTGTAAAGACGGCCCTGGAGTCCTGATACACCCCCACAGTAGAAACACAGGACACAGCAGTAGATCAACAGCAGATTAAATCTGAGGAAAGTGACCAGACACCAAGTTAATTCAGATAACTAATAAAAGTCTTAGTGTCTTACCCCAGAATGTTGACACCTTTTTCTAAAAATTATTTTATTATATCTTATTTTTCAACATATTTCTTCCACCCCAGAATACTGCGTGTCTCTTGCGTTTACAGTAAACGCTCTTGCAGGAGAAGCTGAAACACCAAATCCATGCAGCGTGTTTGGATTTCTGTTCAAAACGCTGCACCAAATCCATGCAGCGTGTTTGGATTCCTGTTTGGGTTCAAAACGGTGTTAATTGGTCGATAACCAATCAACAACGATTCACTTCATGCTGACGTTTTCAATTCAAATCCACGTCCCAGTAGAAACTGAGCACCGTAACTCCTTAATCCAAAGTGTCAGCAGTAGCTCATAAACAAAGGCACTATTTTCTTGCATGCATTATTATGTAACGATCTCCATGTAAGTGTGCAGCAGTGCCGACACGCACATACAGTAGGCTGCAGCCGAGGGCCACTTACACTGTCATTGTCCTTACAGGACAGCAGTCATTGATACAGAGAGATCATGTCTGTGCAACTGCTTACATAAACCTGCTAATGCCAGATCCCACAGAGTCCACGTGATCCGTTTGTTTTTGTCAGCACCTAACCTGCACGTCACAGTACCACAGCACAACATGACAGGAAAACACAACGTCCGCAAAGCTGTGGTTTAAAAGCCGAGCACATAAGCAGAAGTGCTTGTCTTGCGTCATTACAGTTGCGTCCAACATTACAAACTTAGAATTAGTAAAGCCAGACGTAAGACGTGTGTGCAGTCTTGCGCAGGTGAACGTAATTTACTGTTTCTGCATCTTGTAGTCTGCATCTAATAAACGACACGAACAGCTCTGCAGGAATGACGTAATATTCAGTTTAAATCACCTGGTGATGAAATCGTCCACCTCCCCGCTGTGTTCATAAAACCATAATTGCGCGTTGTGCAGCTTTGAGTTTCCTTCCTCCCTCCACCGAGCCTGAGCAGGAATCTGCTTGATGGCTGTGTCTGTGTGAGATGCTGAAGAGAAAGCTGGCCGCTGATTGGCTGCTGCTACAGCCGCTGGTTTCTTCTGTAGGTGGTGATGGTGCATGTACTGTAAACAAGCTCAGCCTACAGCATGTTGTGGTGGTTGTTGATTGCGAAGATAGAGGCTGATGGCGGGAACTTATTATTGACTTAAATCGATGACAGACAATATCTCAATTTACATCTCGTCTTCGCCGAATGCTGTGTTTTCAGCCTTTAAACTGAAGATTCACCACAGGAAGAAGATTCACCAATAGTTTTAATATGTAAACAATCGAACTATGTAAAATAATCCCAGGCATCTCAAGGGGTTTGGTGTTCACGGGCAGGGACGCCCTACACCGCTTTTTTCCAGCAAGTGGTTAGAACGTTTAGACTGAAAGGTGGTGGTGACGAAATTTAAATTTCCCTGCTGTTTATAAGAACCAAAGAAAAGAAGTGATATGTGGGCGTAAACACAACATTAGTTTTTATATTTATGGCTTGTTGGTGATATGACAATATGATTTGAACTGATGGCCTGGTCATTTATTAGTTGAAGTAAATTGACAGTTGGTAGTTACAGGATACGCTGCATATCTGGCACCCTCTAGAGGTAAGACAGGAAGAGCCGCATTCTCTGTTTGACAACCATATCAAAGAAGTATTTCCTGTATTACATTTTGAAAACTACCGATAAAATATTGTTTTGGGCAACAGTGCCACTGTTGTCCAGCAGACAATTGCTAAAAAAACATCTGTAAAAACATCTGGGGACATTTGTGATACAAAATGGCCTCAAAATAATCAGTTGTCATTTTCGGAATTTGAAAATAATAATTATTGTGTCCTTATGTACGTAAATCAAGATATTATTGTGAATTATTTTACTTTTAACTGCCTCCTGGACCTCCCTGAATGCACACTACTTGAATGCGTTACGTAACCAGTGTTTGTACCGTGGCTGTTGGTGGATGGATATGTAAACTCATATTCATGCTCCTGGATCTAATACTAAAAATAAAATCATAGAGAAAATAGCGTTAAAATTGCATGTACTCGTAACAAATACGATTAAATGTCCACCGAGTGGGATTGTTGTCATTGTGAGACGCCTGAGTCTATGGCGTCATGCTCTTGTTCAACTGGTCCAACAGCGCCGCTGTGTGGTTTAATGTTTATACGCACATTCATATTAAGTAAATAAACAGACTGCTTTTAAACCACTACTAAAAAAGTTGTAGTAATAGTAGTAATACAATACACTATAATACACTATACTCTGCTAGAATATTTACTGTACTAGATTAAATATTTCTATTTTTTTAAACACTACTTTGTAAACATGCCACTGAGTAAGTGTATGTGAAAAACAGAATGAACTGTGCACATGTTGAGTGTTTACATTGTTTACTATCAAATACAAAACAGTCACTGAACACTGATAAGGACGTAACATCCACAGTTAAAAAAACAACAACAGAGAACTGACTGATCTGTTAGCTGGATGCCAAAATACACATAACGTTTTAGTTGGACTCGGGCTGATTCAAACACAGGGTAATGTCATAGCATGATCTTCATCATCTTCTGCTTTGTCATTTTCATTTTCTCTCGTTTGTCTCTTATTTGCCTCCAAACTTCTTCACCTTACCTTTCCCTCCTGGTCACACTTAGTGAAAATCTCAGTGGTAAAAAAGAAATACAATCTACAGCACAGTAAACAGGAGAGAACAATAGCTCTGTGACAATTCGTGTGATAAAAATGCTTTAAATAATTAATCTGTCATAAAAACACAGTAACAGAACCACATCAATCAGTCTGTGTGCCTCAGTTTCATAACGTGTCATTAAAATAAATGTCCGTCTTCCAGAAAAACTCCTTTTTACGTATCATCTGCAGTCATCACGGAGCTGCCCAGTGGGTCTTGCATTCCGGGAACACTGTCGACTGACTTCCTGCTGGGGTTTGGTTCTTCTTCACTGTCATCGGACTTCCAGCTTTTGTTATCTTCTAAAAAAATAGGAGGAGAACATTTTACTCAATTCAATTTAAACCGCCAACTTTGTCAATATTTTGCGTCTTCTTTTATTATCCCTACATGCAATAAATTAGTCAAATGTCTTCAGTGTCGAGAACATGAAACACGTGAGGTCATTGTTCTTGACAACGTCAGTGCTTGTTTGTTAAATTCAGCCATTATCTACAGTATGGAGGCGGAAATTGGATTTGTGTGAGATTATCAGCTGTATTTTTGTACTGAAGATGGAGACCACAGATCAGAGTTTAGTTATTGATGGTTCAATCACAGACTTACTGGCCGTGGTCTCTGTGGTGTGTCCTGTGCCGTAGTGAAAACTGTCCTTCTTCTCTGCTGATTTCCTGATGTGTTCCAACTTGTTTGAACGGCACGTGGTCAAAATCACATTGTCATAAAAACATCGACAGTATGAGGTTGTTGGGTGACAATATGAAGAGCTTACTTCTGTACATCCTGACATGCGGCAGCTGACTGGATCTTTACTGGAGGGAAAAAAAGATTGATTACATTTCTTTACAATTTTAGCTCCAATATAATATAATATAATATAATTCATGTTTTATTGGTTTTACCTTGAACTTTGCAAGGGAGTGGGTTCACGGTCCATTCTGCTGCTTTGGTTCTGTGGTTAAAAATAAATACAAGAGGAAATGATGAGAAAGAGTGAGATACGGAGAAAGATAAAGGGCAGACTTACCTTTGGGTTTTTGTCATTGGCATCGTTGGCTTTTCCTGTTTCGGGGTCTCGGCTTCTGGACTCTTTTTGTCGCTGCATTTTGACATAATCATATGTGCTTATTCCTTTGAAAACTGGGGGGAAAATTATGAGATGTAATTAATGGACTCTGCAGAATTAGACTTCAGTACAGAATGATTTTGTATCATGTTCACAGTATCTGTCAGATTTGGAGCAAACAAAACCAAAACACATACAATGACAATGGTGATCGGTTAAACCAATCAGCATGATGATAATGCAGAAAGAGTGGGTGGGGCCATGGATATTGAACCAATATCAGCATCTATGCAAAAACAGTGAACAAATTGACCTGGACATCAGAGCGTGACTCACATAAATAAAAGTGAAAACCCAGCAGATGACACAGCAGCAGCAGGCAGATGGCGCTCAGTATCACTGTTAGGAAGGCCAGTATGAGAAGTCCAGCTGAACTTGTCTTTACTGGTGCTAATGGTATGAACGCCAGCCAGGTGCCGTTCCCCAGGACACCTGCACAAACACATGCACGCAGAATTTTACCGCAAACTTTAGCCAACGCCTGGCCTGAAGCCAGTTGTTTTTCTGATTGGAAGCAAGCGTTCATTGTCATACACAGAGATCATTAATGCCTCTGTGGCTGCACTGTAAGCGACTACTGATCATTCATTTGACACACTACTTTAATTGATACATAACAATGTACACAGAAAAGAAAAAAAATGAGCAACTGAGAAAAAACAAAGGCCAGGAGGACTGAATAGGTGTGTGAGATACTGGTATAGCTAACTTGTGTGGACAATTTAAAAAAATACTGCTATTGTGGGGACATTTGGTCCTAGTGGGAACAAGTTAGGATTAGAATCAGGGTAAAGATTAAGATTAGGGATATATTTGTAATAGTTAAATTCATTCATAAGAAAAGCGGGAATACAAACGTCAATGCAAGGTACCCGTCGAAAAGTAGCGTATGTGTGTGTGAGTTAGTGTGACACACGTTTGAACTCACTTTCAAACTGTGGAGCAGTCCGTAGAATCTTCGGGTCCAAGTAATGCTGAATAAAAATAAACAGGATGACGGCCACGTGCAGAAAGGCCCCTACTGTAGCAGAGGACAGGGCTACGAAGAAGCAGCTGAAGGCGGGACAAGAAACGTGACATTAGTCCAGATTTTAATCTCAGAGTTTGTCAGAAGAACAGTCACACTCTATTAAATTTAATCTCACTGGTAGTTTCTTCCACCGATGCAGGTGTTCAGCCATTTGCAGTGGTGATCAAAGTCTTCCACACATTTGTTACAAACTCCACAGTGTTTAACTTTCGGCCCCCTGAAAAGGATTGAGGAGAATTTACATCAATGCCTAAATGCTAATGTTAATGTTGGTACTGCAGGCTTGAATACATACACGTTGACATCACACAGGTAACAGTGAAGGTCCTGGATGACATGTGACTGCTTCGTCCGATCAAAGACGGGCATCGGACTAGAATAACTGTGCTTGGCCCTGACGCTGGCGTCGGCTGGGTCTATAGTAACAGCAGCAATGTGGGTGAAGAAGTGAACGGCAAATGCTATTCCCATGAGCTATACGCAAAAAGAGTTGAGGAAAGTTAGTCAATGTTTATGGTTGAAAAGAAAAATAGTAATTAGTGGATAACATTGGGCAATAAATACTAGACTGATAATTACAAGTGTATGGACAAGAGCAGAACGAGAACAGACTGGAATCAATTAGGGAAATTATTTGAATTTGAGATTACTTCTAGGTATTTTTAAGTATAGTTTTATATATTTTGTGGTTGTAGTTTCTGCTACGTTTTGGAAAAGACAAATGGTTTAACTGATTACAAAATCTAGCTGCAGCTCAAGTAAGGACTGAGAACCAAGTTCTTGAGACTGGTTGAGAGGAGCCTTAGTTAAAAAGAAAACGTAAGTTTAGTAACTTTACAGCATTAGTCATATGTCACGAGTGATCATGTCTTGGGGCTCAACAAAGACATGCCATGAGACAGAGACAGGCCATCTCTGATGTGACTGAGGCAAACAGAGGCGGCCCACACAACAGCCCCGTTGTCTTGTGCCCAACAACCTGAACTAGACCACATTAGATCCTCATGTCGGTGAAGTCCGACTGAAACGCTGATGCACAGCTAACAGTTAGCATCAGGTAAAGGATACAGAGTAGAGCACGTGGTTCCACGGCCGGGGTAGCAGGGGTATATAGATGCCAAAGCTGACCACGGCCAGGTAGCCAAAGACCAGCCAGCCCAGCACCTGGAAGACCTGAGGTGGCCACGACCAGCCGTTCATCCTGGGTGTCTTAGAGGGCACCAGCTCGTTCCTGCTGCTGCTGCCCTGCATGGGAGATGTGCGTCTCCACCTTTGACTGAAACAATCCATCTAGAGCAGGGGTGTCAAACTCATTTTCACCGGGGGCCACATCATCAATACAGTTCCCCTTGAAGGGCCAGTTGTAAATGGAAGACTGTATAGATCAGGGGTCCCCAAACCGCGGTCCGCAGACCAGTACCAGTCCATTGATCATTTGGTATCGCAGTGGGACACAGTGAAAAAATTTACTTAATTTTTACTAATTTACTTCATTCAAAGAAAATCCATTTAATTTCTTTATTTAAAGGTAATATGGCAATATTTTAAAATAATATGTCATTCAGACACTGATACAAACAGAATAGAGTCTAAAAGATGTTTTACTTTGAAAATGTAATGATCCTTCCTAGGTACCAGTCTGTAGTAACGGCCGGTACTGGCTGACCAGTCCTTGGGACAAAAAAGGTCGGGCAGCGCGGGTACTGATGTAACTACTTCATAACAGACTAATTCATGTTTCTGCAATTGAATATTATTTGATTGATTATAAAAACGTTTAATTTCTCAGGTTAAGAAGCTCTGCAGCATGGACTTTACTAAATGCTTTTTTTAATGATTTAGAGTGTGTAAAGTATAACAGTAAACATCACACGCAGACCAACCATCATACAGTTAAATATAACTATGTGACAGATGAGGCTGCGACAGAGTGCGTAGTCACATTTGTTTAGAAGTGAGATAGGAAAATGTGATGAGTGTTCCCACGGTGACTTTCTAATGACGGACTGAACGAGCAGTCCTCACAGGTCACCATGAGTGTATGTAATAGAATTATATTACATGTATTATAATATAATAATTATTATTATTATTTTCAATTTACCTACTTTCTGTAAAACCTGTGCTTGTTTAGTTGAACACAACGCTGATATACACAAAGGATGTGAAAAAACACACACCAATTTACAGTAAATAAATATAATTTCCAGGCCAATTAATTTAAATGACATCATTCAGCACAGGGACTGTGAATCACTATTATTAAAGAATGAGACAGAAAACGTATTGTTAAAAATGTTTTTAAAAATAGCCATGAATTTATTCATTATTCACAGTTATTTTTGCAACAGCATCATGGCATGACAAAAACAAAGGCACTCAGCGCTCACATAAAGTAGCCTACTTGAAATCACATGTTTTGCTTCAGGTCTTGAGCTGAGCTAGACGTTCTAATGTTAGCGCTAGACTACGGTGTAGTACGAGAGGTATTTAAAAAGTAAAAATGACCGCATCCTTCTCTGTTTTTGCTATTTAATGTTTAAAGTATATAAACAGAATTTTCTCGTTCTCAAAATTCACTATTAAAAGAGGAACTGGTTATATAATACCACTATATATCATAAAAACATTAAAGTCAAATAAAATGTACTTACCGTTGAAGTGGAAAATGATGATTTTCAAAGTATAAAATTAAACTAAAACGAATTTAAAGTAAAAACTCAGGTTCTTTTCTTTTTAAAAAACGGTTGATGATTCCCATCTCTCAGATCTCTTAGACATAAGATGTCAGCAGGGCAGGTCGTTAAAAAGTGGGATTAATAAAAATCAACAGGTTGTCGGTGGAATGGCAGCCGTTCACACGGTGAGAAGTTGAATCATTCATCGTAGTCGGGTTTGTTTCGTCGAAGCACAGGACTCAGAAGTTGAAAAATCAACTCACTCAGCAGGTCGCAACGCACCGCTATGGTAACTGAACCGCCGCACATGCGCAGTACAGGCTCTGCTCACGGCACAGCAGGCACCGTCCATCTCCTCTTAGTCTTCCCAGTTTTACATCTTAAATCGCCCAGAGATTTGATTGAACTCATTGAAGTTATTTAATTATGTTCTTAAGTGTGTTTTCTGTCATTGTCATTCATCTTTATCACTAAACTGCGTTTATTTTAACAGTCTTTGACCGACATACGGTGTTGCGTTAATCATTGGCTCTTCACACAGGGACACGGGGGATTGACATCATTTTGTTGCATTACTGCCCTCTTCTGGTCATCTTTACATTCTGTATTTGATAATATCTCAACCGTTTTTCCTCATTCCAGGATGTCCTCCTCATTACCTGCTTCCGTTTATGCATGTATTTATCTTTCTGTTTGTTTGTTCTGCACATTGGAAAAGCAAAATATATTTTACAATTTTACCAAATGATTACTTCAGCGTAAGAGCATGAAACTGTTTTTTTTTATTTAGGTTTCTATGGCTCTAGAAAACAAGATTGGCAATAAGTCAGGTGTCAGTTGTAGTAGCACCGAGAACTTTTGCTGCAGTAAAATTACTTCTTAAACACGTAAGATACCTTTTCATGCTCTTTCTCGACATCTCGTCCTTGTTGATTGATCACATTGACTTTATGTTGAGTCAGTACAAATTTAATGATTTAAAAAGTTTTTGGGTTTTTTTTGGTATCGTAGCTTCAGTGTTTGAGCGACATATTAAAATTCATTACTGTACAGTGGGGGTCAAAACTCTGTGCTCATGGTTGATTGGAGCAAAATCCTACAGCCACATGGCCCTTTGAGGAATAGTTTGGACATGTCTGCTGTACAGTGATGCTTTCAATGTCACAGTGAGACATCATGGAAACTGTCTACTAATACCTCTTGGTTGATATGTAAAAATGCAAAAGATTATTCTATTTTCATATGCAGCCTAAAAGCATATCTACGGTCACAGCCATGTCCCATAAGCCTCATTTAACACATTTGTCTGTGCTGTGACAAAAAGCCTTTTACAGTACTAGGTTTTAGAGTCCAAATTGCTCCACATTTGCATCTTCCATATCTATGCTTCCCAGTAACCGTCACTTCTCCCAGTCGTCAAAACAACCATGTCTGCATAGCATTTAGTAACAGCAGTGTGTACTTGTAGCTCAAGAGAGAAGTGCAATCAGATAGACTGTGTTTTACTTCTGCATCAGAGTCTGATTTCATTACACATACACAACAATAATCATGTTACACTCAGATTCATTTTACTTCTCTCCTGTGTCTGCACACTGTGATGCCATACAGGACTTACAGTCTCATTATTATTTCCAGTGTTATTGACTAACACCTCACTGTAAACCAAAGCTTAATAAACAAAACACTTAGACAAAAACATAAGTGCAATCATTTATTGTTCACATGTCGCACTTGTGCAAAAAAAAACCCAACCTACAATTAAACTACAAACAGTCTGTACAATCATGTTGAAACCGCAGCGTTTGAACATTGACGTCGTTTACACCGTCGTCACAAATCAGGAGTGTGTTTGGTCAGCTGTTGGTGGAGCTCTCTGGCTCCGGAGATTGCAGGAACTCGTACGGATCATGAACCATTTCCGACTGGTCTCCGACACCCAGGTGTGGTGAACTCCCTGCAGGGGGAGGAGCAGAGTTCTTAGGTTGTTTTTATAAGCTGCTGTTACATGGTGAACAAGGAATAAAGAGCTAGAAGAAACATATTATACTGTATGTTTTCACGGTACCTAAATGGTGCTGGTCCCTCTCTGAGGCATTCGAGAGCGAGGACATGTTGGATGAGGGTCTGGAACCGACTCTGTCAACCTGAGCCTCCTGGAATTCCTGCAGGAGTTTGTCTGCATCATCAAAGTGCTGGTGGCTCTCATCGTTCCCCGGCTCTTTTTTCACTGGTTTACCTGAATAAAATTATATTCATTAACCATTTTTATTAATCGTAGAATATCCTAAAAATATACACAGTGAAATATTTCTACTTTATATTAGAATATTGAAGTGTTCTGGTCTGTTACATCACCATCATCAGAGCCAGTGGCATTAGCAATTCAAAAATATTTTTTTTCTCAGAAAAGAATGCAGTTAAGACTCTGCTGAAAAATTTTAATCAGATTAAAGTTCCATGAATATTATGCATTAACTGCCAACAAGGCCACAGTGACCAGAGTTATTCCATTACTGAGGAAACTCAACTGAATGCAAATGTACTGTAGTCAGTGTGGAGACAGAAGATAGTCACCTAACGAGTTAAGCATGGAAATTTCCAGAGACATGTCGGGATAGTTCTTCATCGACATGAAGTCCAGGACAGAACTGTTCTCTCCGAGACCACTGCTGTCTGACATCTGGTAGAAAACATTCAACTCAGAGTTAGTGAAGCTGTCACTTTTACAAAATTATTTTAAATTAAAATGTACACAACCAAGTTGAAATACCAGAGTTAGTAACATTTCAGATTAAAATTGCCTAAACGTTTTAATGGCAGTTAAAAGTTGTAAAAACAGTGATTATTATTTTTACTTTTGCAGCCTTATTATTGTTTTTTCTGTAGATTGTTTGTTCCCAAGTAAATGTCAAAATAATTCATCACTCCAAATGGAAAAAAGTTGTGATATTCAGTATCTTGCTGCAGACAGTGGAAAATGATCACAGTTGAGTGATGTTTTTATATAATCCAGACTAAAACATACCTGAATATCACAAATGTTAGACTTGGTCTCATCAGGCTTCAGCATCATGTTTCTTTTCTGCAACGTTAAAAAGGACTTACTACTTTGTACTAGGCAGTGTCCAAACATGAAATGTGATGTTGTTTATCACATATAGTACAACAGACGGCATGTTCACCTGTCTGATCTGATTGACTGCTTTGATGTGATCGCCTCCAGTCATTTTGTCCAGCAGACCATCGACCCAACGTTTTGTGACATTTCCACAACCTTTGACGAACTCTTGTAAACTAGAGAGAAACATAAAAAAAGATAAGTATTATCAGGGAAATAAATACATTTCAAAGTTCTTCTAAAGACCTAATAATCCTCTACCTCAATGCGAACTGTGCCCCTGTGTCGTCTCCGTAGGCCGAGTACAGCATGTCCACCTCATCAGGCAGCAGGTCTGGGAATATGGAGTTCTTCTGGAGGCTCTGAGTGTTGTACGCACTGCTGAGAAACGTCACTACACACAGCATGAACTGTAAGTATATTTATAATCTATATACAGTAGGTGCATGTGATAACTGTCAACAAATCGACGTTAGAACAAACCTTTGTGTCTTCTGTCGTCCTTAAAACCCAAGGTTGTTAATCCAGGAAGGAGTTTATTTGACAGAGAACTCAGGTCCACTTTATGTGTTTCCTCTTCTGAAAAGAAATACAGTCAATTACAAAATTGTTGTTTAAACAAATATATATTGTGGGTCTAGAATGTTATGTAAAAGGATGCGAACTCTGAACAAACCTTCAACATCTGGATCAATCTGATTTACAACTGTATAAACAAGGGAACTATCAGAGTCTTTGCGCAAATAGCCGATCTGGAAAAATATCACAATGAAGAAATATATGGTTCAATGCAAATCATACACATTGATGGTTCACATTTACACATACTGTAGTTAAATTCATTTTTTTTACATATTTCAAATTTTAAAAAAAAAGAGTAAAATAACACTTAATGTAAATAATGTCTCTAGAATATGCAGTGACTTTGCCACTATAACTTTAGTTTGTATAAAATTAAGTACAAATAAGAGATATTAAATGAAACCTTTGAGTTTGGCATGTATCGGTTGATTCGATCCCGAGCTTCATCTGCAGAGTGTTCGACCAGAGCCAGAACATGCTCCTCTGCTGTGCTGTCTGTTAAACTGCAAGCACTTCCTTCTGGTTCGTACAGGTAACTGATTTTTCAAAACAACAAAAATATGATATGATAGGTTATTACACTGACAAGTTAAAACGCATCATTAAAAATAAGACATTAAACATACCTGATGACCTCCTTCATGTCTTTGGCAGGTTGTTTCTTGGACTTTTTGGCTGACTCCACTGGCATCGGGACGATCTCAGGGGGAGTCAGATCAGCGGTGAGATCCTCATCACCCAGGATGGCAGCCTGCTGGGTGAAGTCCATGTCTTGCATGAAAGACATGCTGCGCTTTAAAGCTAACAGTCGGTCCTGTATAAACACTCTGATTAGTCTGACCGTTGGGAACAGATTAAAAAACCTGAAGTTTATTCAAGGTTTTTTTAGCTTTACCTTGCTCATCATCTTAAATCCAGTGTGGAGCAGTTTTTTGGCAGCTTTATAGTAGACAGTTTCTGGTCGGTTGTACACCATTGCGTTGTCGCACATTAGTTTAAAGTCTGCCTGTGGATTAAATAACATGCCAATAAGTATAAGAGGATACTTTCTCTAAAATCCTGATGTTTTTCCACCAATAAATATTTCATATGGAATCAAACTTACCTTGAATTCTGTTACTGTGTTGTAATCATTGTTTCGAATCTTATCTTTCATTGTGCTAAAATCCATTGGATGTTTAATGATCACTGAGTAACCAGGAGCAATGGCATCAGTTACTGGAAATGAGAAGAATCCATGCGGGTCTTTCCTTCAAAGACAAGTAATAAATAAAAAGTTATTTAAGAAACTCAATTTAAAATAAAAAACAATATATATAATTCATATAAAAAGTGTTGTGCTTGGCATCACAGAGGTTTCTTTCATATTTCAATTTACATTTTGCAATGACCATTGAAGAGACTATGATCAAATAATTAAAATAATTTTCCTCACCTCTGCAGTTGACGTAAAAAGTGCTCCAACAGTTGTTGACGAGGAGTCGACTCACTTTCTGTGTAGTACAGAACAAATGTAGAACTCTTTACTATCTAATACTGCTGTATTGCAGTCAACGTAGTGGTTCCCTACTGACTGCTGATGTGATGTCAGCAGACAGGCTGTCTCACCTTGATGTGTCCTGCATGCTCTGACCGGTCTGTCTCCCTGCATGTCTATATCCATCTTCACATTCGGGTGAAAATCCTCCAAATCAGGTTCTATTTCAAACTTTTCTTTCTTTTTTTTCTTTTCTTCAGGCTGTTAGAAAACACAAAACAAAACTTTAGAGATAACATTCCGGCTGTTAGAAAACACAAAACAAAACTTATAACATTCCAAAATGTGAGGGACTACGATGTCTGATGTTAATCATGGTTACGTACCTCTAAACTGATACTTATTGTCTTTGGCAGTGTGAATGGTTCAACAGGTACAACCGCACTGACTGATGTCACAGGTGCTGCTGCGGATGTTGCTGATGATGATGCTGCCACTGCTGCAGCTTCTGATTCGTTTTGCTCACGCTCTCTTTTCTTCCTTTTTTCCTCCTGTAAACAAAAAACCTTTTAATTTTTTTATTCAAACAAATAATTAATAACAAAAACAACAGTGCACTCACCTTTCTCCTCCGTCTCTCCTCATCGTCCACATACTTGTCTTTGTCCTTCTCTGACTTCTTTTTCTTTTTTTTCTTTTTCTCTTTGTGTCGTTCCCGCTCATGGTCTGACCTGTCGTCATAGTAGCTGGAATCATGGCCTGAGCCAGAGAGCTCTGTGACTTCACTTCCTCCAACTTTGAGCACAAGTTTGAGGGGTTTCTCAAGAGCCTTGTCCTCGTAGTCTGCTTTTGAAACAAAATAAAACCAGAGTTACTCTGAAGTGTAAAAACACTGTGGCTTAATTTGACGTTTACATGGAATGAGTAAATGACTGGTGGTGATATTCTCTACAGGCAGCGCCACCATGCTGGCTGTAGAGACTCAAAAAAACATTATCACTGGTACATTTTTATGATTACTAAGATATACAAGATATTATATGCTCTATAACGCTAACCTTTAACCTAAAAAACCCACCTACAGGGATTGCAGCTGTAACTAAATGCTCAAATAGTCTTGTGACAATATTATTTATTATGAGTTACATTGAGTTCTGCATCAGTCATATGTCTTAGACTGTATTTATCCGAACTGCATTTTGACACAAAATCGTAATAAAATCCCAATTAAAAAAGACAATACTGTAACAGACGGCATTTGAAAACAATCGTTCGCATAACGCTAATGTCCGGGGGAAAGAATTAAGTGAAAATTCTGAGAACAAACCATTTCTTCATTGGTTTTTCATCCAAACAACTATACCAAAATGCTATGCTAAGGTTGCTAATATAACGCCAGCTAAAACAAAAGAAATACAATAAAGAGTTAATAATAAAAAGATGCGTCCAGGTACCATCGACTTTTCTCCACTCCGGTTTATGTTTCTTATGTTTTTTCCCCATGGTTATGTAGTGTATTCAAAGCCTTGTCCAATTCTTATTGATGTTTACACTGGCTGAATGTTAGCTGAGGCTAGCTCTAATTGTAACGTTAAGGACCAGCGGCAGACGGAAATGATTCCTCAAAACAAACTATCTGTTTCCGGTGGAACCAAAGACCGCGCTGAATTCAATGAGTTGTCGGTTTCCTGACAGCAACACGACGTGGTTTTGATATTTTCCATCAGTATTTTATGCAACAACTTTATCAAGCTTGCTGATTTACGGTAAGGTCTCATGTACTAACAGTGTCATTGTTAATACGGTACGTTAGCTACCATCGCCGAGTCATCTAACGAGCTGTTAACCAGCTAAAGACATGCAATTGTTTTTATAGTTCAGTCGTTGTTTTCACAGATTTTTAAGGATGGATGAAGACAGAGTGGAGGCGAAGAACATCAATGTGGAAGTTCTTGTGAATTCCCACAGGTGTGTCCGCTGAATAGCCAACATTTGTCCATCCTCAAAAAAAGCTCGTTCATATTAATCAACCCAGTCGCCCCTCACGAATTGTGTGTATCCGATTTTAACGTTTAAATAGATGTTGAATTTTCCCCTTTCTCTTTATGTTACAGTACAGCCAAGCTGTCAGAAGTCAGAATGCACGTTCTGGCTTTACTGAATCGCCACAGTACGATTTTTGGGAACTACAGATGGACAGAGTTTGATGAAGACTTTCTCAGGAATCATGTCGAGTCGGTGGCAATAGTTGATATAGAGGAAATGGTTACACAGGTCTGGTACACTGTCTGTCCAAAAGTCTGAATAATAATAACATTTAAAATATGAATTTATACCAAGTTGTTTCCTGATTAAAGACAACTTATTTCTAGGAAATTGTGACTAAGCATTGATTAGATTCCTACTTTTAAAATATGCATGTTAATATATTTTCGGGTTTTGGAAAATATATTACCTTTTTGTTCAATGAATTGTGTGACATTTCTCTGACAGGTTGATGTCTTTGTTTTATTTATTACCACCCTGTGTCAATTGTTGTGACGTTAAATACATATTATAATTTATTTGCCACTCAGCCCCTGGATTTAAAGAACTGCTCTCTGTCTGTGCACATCTTCACACTGAATGAGGACGGACCGAGCACGCTCAGTTTGGAGGAGGACGAAGAACTTTCTGCAGCAAACCACTGGTTGTTACCCACAGGTAACAACAAAATGTTCTCGTATTTATTCATTTTCAAACCGACAATGAAAAAAGCAAACTAGAAAATGGATGAAGTTTGTTTTTAATATTTTTATCATGTTTTTTTTGTATTGACACATCAGTAGAAGTCAGCTGTTTTTTTTAATATGAAAAATGTGAATATATTGAATTATAACGTATACAATAGTATAAGTGAAAGAGATTATCTTCTGTTTAAAATTAGCTGAATTCCACGGGATCTGGGAAAGTCTGGTGTATGATACTGGCGTCAAAACTCAGGTAATAAACAATATATTTAAAATGTAGCAAATGGTTACATTTTTACAAAACGTCATTCAATTTTAAAATGTACATTGATTTAATTTTTTTCCCAGCTCCTGGATTACGTCACAACCACAATTTACTTCTCAGACAGAAGCGTTGACCCCAACCTAATCTCATGGAACCGTGTTGTGCTCCTTCATGGTAAAGTCTTCAGACTGTTTGGATTTTGGTCAGAGGTTAGTTTTGTAATATAACTGACTCGTCCTCTACCACATCAGGACCCCCGGGCACGGGGAAAACGTCACTGTGCAAAGCTCTGGCTCAGAAGCTGTCAATCAGACTGTCCAGTCGGTAAGTCGCTCTTCGTCTCAGTAAAACTCCGGTTGTTGTTCCTCCTCCTCCTCACCTGACAGCACGTTTCTTCCCTGCAGGTATTCTTATGGACAGTTTGTGGAGATCAACAGCCACAGCTTGTTCTCCAAATGGTTCTCAGAGGTGAAGCTGAACTCCAGTTTATACCACGTTGAATCTTAGTTGACTTGATCCTTCACACAGAAACTCTTTGAATCTTTTATTTCAGAGTGGAAAACTGGTCACAAAGATGTTTCAAAAGATCCAACAGCTGATTGATGACAAAGATGCTCTGGTGTTCGTTCTGATTGATGAGGTAAAAATAAATGCTGTTGAAGGTGTCTCTGCTGCAGCCAGCACTGTTCTGTTAAATATTGTCCATTTCAAACAGGTGGAGAGTCTGACAGCAGCTAGGAACGCCTCCCAGGCTGGAACTGAACCTTCTGATGCCATTCGAGTGGTCAATTCTGTTCTCACTCAACTGGACCAGATCAAACGGTCAGGAAGCTAGGCCTGTAAACCAGATCAGTCCTCCTCATCACAGAGGCTTCTCGCTGCTTATTTCCTCTGTGTTATTCTCCTTTGGGTTTGGGTTTCAGACATTCAAATGTTGTGATTTTGACGACCTCCAATGTGACGGAGAAGATTGACTTAGCTTTCGTGGACAGAGCTGACATCAAGCAGTACATCGGACCTCCGTCTGAACAGGGCATCTACAACATCTACCTCTCCTGCCTGGAGGAGCTCATGAAGGTAACGGCAGCTTGTTTTAAAGTGAGATTTTAAAAGTTAATTGCAGTACACATACCTGTAATATCAATGATCTGAAGGCCATTGTTCTTTAGCACGGAGTAAGAAAGATAGCAAAGTAGTATTTCTCAAGAAAAAAGGAATCTTTAACTGGATTCGGATGAAACCTAACTTTAAATAAACTCTAGACATTGACGTCTCTTTGACATCTGAGTCTGACGTCATGACTTTTTCTTTAGTGCCAGATCATCCACCCTCGGCAGCAGCTCTTCACCATGTTCGAGCTGGAGACCATGGGCTTTGCTGAGAGCGAGGTGTCGGAACACAGTCTGAAACTGAGGCACATCGCTCTGTGAGTACACGAAGCGATCCAGCGGAGCCTCTGGGTTGTTCTCTTGACATCAAGTCAACCAACAAACTGAAACAGCCAGAGGTCTGTGTCTCATTTTCTCTTCATTTCCAGGAAAAGCAAAGGCCTGAGTGGAAGAGCTCTCAGGAAGTTGCCGTTTCTAGCACATGCATTGTTTGTGAAGGTGAGTAAATTATTTTTGGCTTAAAAGAAAAGGAAAACAAATGAAAGTGTTTTCATTAACGTGGTTTTGTTTGCCTGCAGTCACCCACGGTGACTTTGGAGAAGTTTCTGGAAGCTATGGACCAAGCAGTGGATAAACAAAGAGAGGAAAAATCCAGTCTGGTCAACGGTTTTTGAGTCTTTAACACTGTTCACGAGTCTTCAGTTCTGTTCAGAGTTTAAAAGAAAAAAAGTTTGTCTTTTACTGTATCTGAGCGTTTTTGTTTTTAGACCACTAAGTCAAGTTGTTGAACAAATATTGTCTCTGATGTCTAATTTCTGATGACGTCTTCAGGTTTATATATGTACATATATATTTTTTTGTCATCACTTCCTCAACATTTACAATAAAGGCAGTTTTGGTCTAATGTGGAAAAATCCAACCCAGTGCTTGAAATATATATAATATTGATTGAGTTTTTTTCTTTTTTTTATGCATTAGGTTTAAGGAAGGGCTTTCAAACAATTAGAAGTTGAACCTGATTAATCACAGGGTAGCAGTGGCTTAGTCATGATTAATCAAAATAAATCAACATTCCAGAATATGATAATTGTTTGTTCTGGAACAGAAAGAGATAACAGCGGGTAGATGTGTGTTTCACACCTGGTTTTATTTGTGACTAAATCCACATGATGCTATTATTAATATGAAAAATTGTCATGAAAGTTATTCAAAATGAAAAACCAGTACATGTAAATTACAATATGAGACTATATACCAATGGCAAGTGAATAGACGGTGGAATTATTGGATATACAGTGTGTATTTCGTTAAACATTTATTCTGATTAACTTCACAAATTAATGAACATTAGCTTTAACAGCCCCAGTTTGACATGTTAATGAACTATGTATACAGATTTTCCTAAGACATGCTAACATTAGCCGCTCTCTGCTGCTTAAAACACTAGCTTTTGTAGTTGTTTTGTGGGATTGTTGGAGAACATCTAATACGGTTCTGTAATGGACTTCAGCCTGAGAATTACTAAAATGTTATCTCTGAACGCTATCTTGTGGAATATTTTTTTTTTTTTTTTTGGTTTAAAAACAGGTTCTTTCTCTACTAGTAGTGAAATGTCATGTCTGTAATGTCAACAGTGATCTTGTGTCCTTGGTACAACTTTTATTGTGTATATACAGGTAACTGTAATAAAAACTAAAGTTTAAGGTACTCGTGTGTTTTGACTAAATACTGCGTTTCAAACTGACGACCTAAACAGAATCTCGTGGCCGCCACTTGGTGGCGCGCAAATCCCGTTGTGTAGCTTTGCACGTGAAAGGCCTGATGTTGTTAAGTGTAATTTATGAGAGGCATCATAGTAACACAACATGGGAATCCAAATGTGTTTTTTAAGCTTGTGATTGCCACTAAGTTGGACTAAAACAACCCGGAAATAAACGATGTAAAGGAATATTTGAAGCTAACACCGTTGTCTAAATATACAGTCTCTGTATGTCACTTCAAAGACAGACAGATACAGTTGTGTTGCTACTGACATGACCTGAACACGTCATGACTGAAAGACTAAAGTCCTGTGTTGAAGTGCAGTGCATCAGTCACATGGACAGTTTACATGAAGACATCACTGGCTCCATTGTTCATTTGAACATGTTTTGCATTCTGTGAATGCTCTGCTGCTTTGCATGTCCGCCACCGGCTTCAGACAATGTGCCCTTTGTTTGTTGTTGGGCAACAGATTTTTCACTCCACCACTTCAAAGGTGGATTCTGCAGGCTGTTCTTGAATGTGAAAGGAAAGCAAAAACACACACCGAGTTCTTGTTTTATTCTCCCGTTCTACTGTGCAGTACATTCATGTGGCCGTCGCTGCCTCAGTGGAGCCTCTGCTGGGTGTTTTATTGAGCACATTTTATGTGGAATTTTCGGTTGATTTGCTTTTACTGGCAACAGGTTGTCATTAAGATCAAACCAAAGATTTACACTCATCAATTTATGTTTTTTTCCTAAGCGCTGAGCTCGACAAAAAAGTCCAGAATGGATATTCCCTGTGTGCAGTAAACCCTCATTTAAGTCAGGAAACCTAACTGTTGTGTTTGAATTATTCTTCTTAATACTAGAGTATCTGTTTCACCTAATTGTTGTGGAGCCGCAATTATCATTTGTCAAAGACGTTTTTATGAGGTGAATCACACAAAGGGTCTCTCCTTAAGTTTGTGCAGGGATCACAAAGTAAAGAGAAAGAAAGAAAAGCAGATGGAGAAAAGAAAAGTTGTAGGACTAGGCATTGTAAATAAAACCATAATTGCTCTGTCTGGAGGCCTTTTCTCTCGACTGTAGTTTGTCCAAAACCAGGCAGCTGTTAAAAGGCAATCAGGACTGTGAAGGAAGAAAACTCAAAAGCCTTATTGTTGCGGGGTTTTATCATGGTTTCAAGCTGTTTGAAAAACGTCAAACCTCCAAACAAAACAAAAACCTGATGTTTATCCTCTCCACTGTTGTTCAGGTACATGGCTGAGAGCAATGGAATATGATTGTGTCTGCCAATGGTGATTCACATAGGGAGGGGTGCAAGCACACACACACTTGTCTAGGTAAGTTAGCAGAAAACTCAACCCAGCTGTGCGCAACAAATGGACGTTTACATGCACTGCTAAGTCCAGCTACGGTGCTAGCTTGACTGTGCCATGATTGGACAACCATCCTGCCAGTGCGTCTTCATTTGCTTCAGCTGATAGACAAATCCCTCCCCTTCAGGCTCTTAGTATCGGGCAATGTCCCATTGACTGTTAGCTATTAGCAAGTTAGTTATTAGATATGTATATATACATATATATCTATATGAGTATGTATGGGTATATTCAATACATAACAATATATATTTAAATAAATATAAATACATGTATATAATAGCTTAATCTGCCATTCGTATGAACACTAGGGCTGCCAAATTATTCAAAACGACAATCACTCGCAGTCCATTTAGCAGTTATGTCAGCTTCTCAGTTGAAGACTGCCCAGTGATTGGTGAAAACCGTCTGATGCAAGCTCAGCGCCCTCACCTGATGTTATAGCTGTATGACTTTACAAGACAAGTCAAGACAATTGGACACTAGTCCAAGGAAAATGACCTGCATGAACTGTTACTGACAATTAAGGTTAAAGCCAAGCTTCAGAATACTTTTCTTCATATGATTCTTTTTAAAAGTAAAGAACCACATTATACAAAAACCTGAATTCTACCAGTATATATTCACATAAAACCTGAATTCTACCAGTATATATTCATCCACATGTTGTATTCGCATACATCACCATCACACTGTCACAGCTTTTCAATTCTCCATCTGCGTGACAGCCTTTAGAGATAAACCAGGACTTTCATCCAAGTGAACGCCAGCCTCAAAAGACAAATCCCTGTTCCCGCTCTGAACTACCCTGTCAGGGACGGCATGAAAAGTTGATTCTGACTGAGTTCTGACATTTTTGCACACCATATGTTAGAAACAGAGGCAGAAGCAGAAGCAGAGAGGGAGGGAGAGAGGGAGAGGATGAGGCAGATATGAGGCCGAGCCTTAAAGAGAGGCAGTCGGGCTACATGAAGAGAATGTATTCATCAGCCACGTTGAGCGGGATCAAAGAAATCTGCCATCAGCGAGCAATGAAAATGTCTGCTCACGCTGTCAGCCGTATAGACTCTGATCTGAGAGTCCTCTGTCTGGGAGGAATCTAATGGCGGACACATTGACAGGAAGAGCTGTTTACCAACTCTCCACGTTCATCAATGTCTGGCAGTGAAACTTGGACACAGAGATCCACCGAGCCTGCCTGCCATTCTCAAAGAAAAATAAGATGTTCTTCCAAAAGCACAAAGGATGTACAGTATTTCTCTTTTGTTTTTCCAGGCACGGCTCCTCTGTTGAGGTAATAAAGAATAAAGATGGGCTATAATTTTTACATGACAGCAGCACTTTGGTGGGTTGACTGAATGAGCGAGAAATTGGCACCGAGCAAATAATAATAACAGTTTATGCCTCGATAACATGCAAAGATCAAAGTAACATCTGTTCCAGTTTTGAATACAGTCTCCAGGAGTGGGATATTTACCAAACACTAACACCACTTTCATGTTTTCATACTATTATATATTTCAGAGAGGTTGCCTAACTAAATGAATATTCATAACTCTTGGCCCGCGTCCTGTTGTAACACCCTGCCAAAGGAAACAAAGTATAAAAAATGCTGCAGAGCTTTTGATCGCTGTGCGCCAGGTTCGTGTGCTGCTCCTTCTTCCTACTTCTCCTCCATAAACAAACGGTTCATCTTCACCGTTTGTTATTCACTGACACAGGCCATAAACACAACAGGAGTGAAAACATGCAGCAGTCACGTCACGTCTTCATTAACTGCACCTGTGTTTATACCAACACACATGACATGACATGGAAATGTCTCTGCTGTAATAAAAACAGTCCAGTATGAATTTGAATGTTTGAATGCTTTAAAGTTGTATCGACCGTTCGACTGGATTGAATATCCGGATGTTCACACAATCTTTACTAATTAAAAAGTAATGTCCGTTAATTGGCTTAAATAATAAATGCAGGTTTCCTTAGGGATGCGTCGATAGAGGTCGCACTTTTACTTTCAGCGGAAATAAACTCGATTAAGAACAGCATATTTAGATCAATAACAAAAGAAAGGAACGAAGGGAAACAAATAACAATTTCAACATTAAAAAAATGTATTTTTAAATTCTTGAACACTCGTTACTTCATTATATCATTGTGTTCATCAGAGATCAAATAATTTTGGCTACCTTTGAACTACTTCTATCCTATTTTTACTCGATTTAAATTGTGTTTTTTTTTAACAAACACAAATTTTAATCGTCTCTGTTTAACGTTGGTTAACGTTTGTTTGTATTAAGCAACGAGACGCGGTTTTACGTTCAACTACGCTCACCACATTAAATAGCTGTCGGGTCTGAACAAAACCGGACGTTGTGCCATTTCATTTTCAAAATAACAGCACATTACAAAGCAGGTACCGTTGAAAAAATAAAAAATAAATAACATTGTCTTCTTTATCAGGAATTTCCTTTTCCACTATATATATTTTGAGCCATTTGGAATAGGCCAATTTTAATGACTATTCTAGCTATATTGTACGGGTTCTAGCATTTTAAACATTTCAGCCAGCCAATTCGTGAGATGGTCCCAATATCGCTATTTTTTATACTAATTTAAAGTTTTTTTATTTTTTTATTTTGATAATCTTGATGTATTCTCTGGGAGAAACTTAGCAAAATGTCAACTTACCTTTTACAGTTTTACAGTCTTATATTTGGCTGACGTTTGTCTGTTAGGGACTCACCTGTAATTTCACAGCTATTTTGATTGTCTTGTATGTAAAATTAAAACGTGTTTCATCATTAAAACCCTGCCTAAATGTCAGTGTCATACGTACAGATGTACAGTTCTTTATGTCCAAATCTCCCATTTCTAACCGTTTGTGTTTCCCATAATATTATATTTTCAAAAATCACACTTGGACTTGTGGAAGTCCATTATTAACTCTTTAAGCCGTGCAAAGACTTTGAAATAAAATACTCCGGCTTTTCGGGCGTTTGTTGATAAACACAACAATGTGTTTTATTCTTTCCTGGCATTCAACCGGATGTGAGCGTCGTATTTACGGCGTCTTGACTTACGCTCCTGCGTGAGTTTGAGCTCAGAGCGCTCTAAAGCTCAGTGGAGCTGAGGTGAGGTTCGAAGACACACTCACACGCTCACATACACGGGGAGACAGCAGGAGACACTGACCGTGTCCACTACTGCACAGAAGGGACTGATGCTTAAATGAGACGGCGCTTCACCCACGAGTCTCTGGGTGAAGCTGGAGTGTCGTCGTCGTCCACACGTTAACAAACACGATGTGACCATGTTGAATCCGTGACTGTTTGATCCGCGGAGGATTTGGGAGTTTACCTTTTAATGATCCAAGGAAGAGAGACTTCAACATGGGCAAACTTCAATCCAAACATGGTGAGACATGGTGCAGCTCTGAGCGCATTTAAGGTCACGTTCTATGCATTTGGTTTGAACTATTATTGTTACTAACGTTTGTCTCTTTTACATCTGTGATTCTGATGACGGGACCTGAAGCGTGCAAGCGCAGAGAAAACCCTGAAGGTGAGCGCAGATCCGGGTTGTTTTGGTGGTTTATCTGTATTTATGACTCTTATAAGAACTTCCAATCAATCAACGATAGTAATCGTATGTTTTGGTGATTCCCCACTCATCAATGTGTTTTTTCTAAACCCCAGGAGACAGTTTTGTTGTTAATGCCTTCCTGCGCAAAGGGATGGAGGAGTGTGAGAGGTACAGCGCGACCGACCCCAAGCTCAAGAACCTACAGGTACCAGACTGTTTGAAGAATGCGTTTTTAATGTCAGCTGAAGAAAAACAACAAACAAACAAACTTTAATAACACATGGTCCCTAAATATGTATCAGTAAAAACAAGATTGTTATTTTAATTTGTTTTTAACTTAATGTAGGCAATGACATCAAGACATAAGAGGAAAGACTATGGTAAAAATGGGTCTTAAAAATGTCCTACATTATAATGCTACTTTTGTAAATTATGATCCTATTTGGTGGAAAATAGATGGTAGAGCAGAAACGAAAAGAGTTGTTGAATATAAGTAAAATACGCCAACGTACTGCGCCCAGACTCCCACTGAAGGACGCAGCTTTCACCAGAGTGTCCTCTCAAATAATATGTCTACTGTTGGGATTTGTCAACTGTTTTCCCCTAAATGGGAAAAAAAAATCCAAAAAGAAGTTCTGAAACATGTGGTTCAGGCCACAAACACTTGGTGAAAATATAATAAATCAAGTAGAGAAGTAGCCGCATGTTCCCATGGATTTTTGTTTATGTGAAGTGACTTCCAAAATATGTGACTCTCCTCTAGAGAGGAGTACTACTACATTAGTACTACTACGACTAATACTGCTGCTGCTGCTATTTCCATTTATTCAGTACAGTCTATGGCTGAAGTAGTTTATAAATCCTGAAGCTACTTTGTGTTATAAATGTTGTTTTTGTGAGACATATCTCTGTCACTGTCTGTCTGTGTTTTATTTGTCACACACTTCAAAGTAGTGTGGCTAAAGTGGTTACCTTCCCATTTCCCTTCCTGAAAGATGAGCTGAAAGCTGCTTGACTTAAGAGAGGTTTGAAGCGGGGGGGACAGGAGGGAGGTACTGTATTCACGAGTATGTGTGAAGACACGCTGATGTCTTTGTTGACTTGTCCTCTGTTGTTCTTCCTGTCACGTCTGGCTCCGCCATAACACTGTGGCAGTTATTACACTGTCGGCATCACTGGACGAGTTGTGACAGCCATGAGCGCCGTGTGTGAAGTGGCTTGGCCGAGCGGAACAAGCGCGTACACACGCACACGCACACACACACACACACACACACACACACATGGATGGAAAGGTGGTCATTTCTGAGACTGAGAGTTGTAAAGTTTGCACTTGTGGCTGCTGGCATCGTGACTCAGGGGCTGTGTCTTTTTCCTCAATGCCTCTCATTCTCTCAGTGGACAGCCCTCTGTCCTGGCCCAGAACTTCACATCACGTCACCTAGCGTCTCTTTAGGAGAGTACAAGGAGCCCCGAGATCTCAAACCGGGCTCCACTCTGGGCCGCCGACAATCAGTGAGGTGGGAGGTTGGACCAGTGGAAGAGTTATGGATTCTATCATGGCTCTAACCTTCCCATTTGTGGCAAATTAAAAGAGAGCTTCACTCTGCTTCAGAGGAGTCTGAGGACTCACTCCCTTGAAGGGAAACCACCAAAGGTTAAAGCTTGGCACTTATTAGTAAGTAGGTCCCGCCCTGGCTGCTATCAAAGTCATGCTCCTGATTTATTAGTTCTGTCAGAGGATAACTCTCCCAGCATCTTAACTGCAACACATTCATTTTGAAGTCTCACCAGGATTGGTTAGCAACAGGATCACTTTTAAATATTTTAGTAAGTCAAATCTGTTGCTGAAACATCTGGTGACGGTGTTGAGAGTCAAAACTGTACAGTCAGCTAAAAAAAAAGTAAGAAATGTTAATATGTAAAACAACATTTTCTTACTTCCTCTCTGTGCTGTTCTAGTGATGACAGTTTCAGAGATTCTTTATGTCATTTCACCTCTATATGTTTTATGTATGTTAACTGATTTTTTTCTCTAATTCGATGGAAAAACATGTATTTTTTTTAAATACTCTGCTTCAGGCTCTGGACCAGTGCAGGGTATATTTTCACATCGCAACGAGACACTTGTTGATGGTTAGATATGACTGAGTCACAGCCTGGATGGAATGCATAAATGAAAGTGATAGGATGATGATATGGAGCTCGTGTGTTCACCATTGTGCTGCGGAGCCAACATGTGACTGCTGGCTTTTATACTGTGACACTTCAAGCTTCATGTATTAGTATTAGAATCCATGTCCTTGGGATATTTTTCCCCAGTGCTGTGCAGTTTCCCATCATGCAGTTGAACAGCTTAGTTATGCTGTTTACAAAGAACAGTGTTTTCACATTCCATTTCATGTACAGTCGCTTTTTTCCAACAACAGTTTCATCATTGTGTTAATTTAAAAAATAGTGTGAGGGTCTTTTATCAAAGCAGTTGTCCATCATTCTTTATTCACGTGTGAGCATTGAGACATAGACAGCATTTTCCCTGCTAAGTCCTGCTGGAAGGCGCAGATGAAATCACTTATAATTTCATATTAGAAGAGATTGGCCAAACACACTCCCTCTGACCATCCCCCCCTCCTCATTGTCAAACGGGGGAGTAGGATTCCTGAGCTGTCTGGCTGGGACTTCAAAGCCCAGAGCTGTGAGTTATAAAAGGGCTCTGATATCAGTGGAGCCTCCGAACCCTCACCCCTTCTATCCCCCTGCCCTGTCCTGGGGGATGGGCTGAGGGATGGAGTACCAAATGGGGGAAAGAGGAAGGAAAAACACACACGCTCAAAAAACACCAACCAGCCAACAAACATGGCCCTGCCTCAGACGTGAATCATCTTGTTCTTTTAATCCAACACACTGCGAAAGCTTTTCCATGCTTTAGAAAGAGGCAAAAAATGATCAAAGGATATAAAGTCTTGTTTAAATATTGATAGTGAAGCTCGCAGCTGGCACGTCAACCTCACCGTGTAATTCTGCCTTACACTCTGGTGTGTGTGTGTGTGTGTGTGAGAGAGGGAGATTTAACAGGATGACTCCTCTCGCCCCGTGCACTGTCATCAAGGTCTTGACACTCGTTTGCAGGTGTTCATGACAGGTCATACCTGTCCGAGCACCTGGTGCGATGTAGAATTATTACAGCCAACATCAAAGTGTCGGCCCATCGGCCCACCCTGAACACAAGCTGGGCCTGTAGTTAGAGGATATGTAAAAAGCAGAAAATACCAAATTCCATCCTTAAGCGGAGCGGTGTTCATTAGTGGAAGAGCTCAGTGAAGGTTCACTGTGTTTCACCTCTGGAAACATCAACACGTCCAGCGTCCAGAGTCAGACACACACAGCCACACCGCTTCATTTTGGGAGCTTAAAAGCAGACGTGCTCAGATGCCCGAATAATGACAGCATAATTCAGCCTTTCAGCACCGCCTTTTGTCTCAGCATTTCTCACACACTCTGTCTGTGGGGAGAGAGTGTGCCAAGAGCTCCAGGACCCACATTTATTTTGACTTACGGAGAGTTACATAGCACTCTCTCCTCAGTAATAAATTAGAGGTTTAAGAGCAGAGTTCCCAAGCAGCTCACTAAACTAATTGTACTCTAATGTTTTTCTAACATTCATCTGGAATTTGTGAATAAGAGTTTCCCCTTTTTTAAAAGTCTTCATTTGGCAGTCATGCTTAAAATGGATGTTTTCTTTGGACATTTTCGCCAGTGGGCATTTCGGCTCTATCATCCAGTCACCATGTTCATTTTGAATTGGCAGTATTTGATTTGGATCTGCGGCCGGGATATCTGTGTAATCTTAAAGCCGCTGCTCTAAATTACATTTTATTTTCAGTAGAGAGCCGCAAGTTTCAAACTGAGGCCATTTCTTTTTAGCTGGGAGCTGTGCAGAGTGGATATAATTGTGCACATCCTGAGGCCTTCGAGTACCGGGAGACCGTTTTTCAAGGAATATTGTCGTCACCAACATCGCAGGACGTTTTGTTTTTATTTTGCACCGCTGTGAGTAATAAGAGAAAGGCCGTCGGTGCCACAAAAGAGACACGCGTGAGGAGAGACAAAAAGGTGTGTTCTGTGTGTACTGCTTTTGAAGGGACTTGAAGGCATTTGGTGAGTTTGTTTTTTCCACCTCTTCTTTTTTTTTATTTTTTTTTTTTAAATTAGCTTCACAAGGAGGCGAGCTGTGAGCCTTCATCTCTGAATGAAAAGCATGTGGCTGGCATCCAGAACAGCGGGGTCTTTCAGCACGGCCCCGGCAGACATCTGTTCCTGGTTTGTACAGCAAAATCCTGGAGCAGAGAGAGAGGGCTGTGGTAGGAAGGGGGTGAGTGAAAGAGGGAGGTAGGAAGATGGAGGGGAGTAGGAAAAGAGAAGGGGGCAGTGGTGGGGTTTGAGAGTGTATGTTTTTTTTTCTTTAGAAAGATATTTGAGGGGCTTTAAAGGTAGTGGGGGGGGGGGGGGGGGACTTCATCCGCCTCGTCCACTTCATTGTTTGTCCAGGAGCTGACCATTGATCTCACCTTTCCTTCCACGCAGACCTCTGACTCAAGTGTTAATTACACCACTCTCCTGCGACTTTCTGCTCTCTGCCGCTGCAGTTTGGCCGCAGCAGTAAACATCATCACCTGGTTGCTTGTTTAAGCCATTCTTTCCTGTCCTGTCTTTGCGTCAGTGAGTGAATGTGTCAGTGACAAAGCAAAGGGCTCTGAGCCAAATGAAGACGCAGCGGAGCACTGCAGGTCGAACGTTTGTCTTTTCTTTTTCCCTGAGAATATTTGTACCGTCTCAGGACTTTGAAGCAGTTTTCTGTGCTGTTCAAGAGAGCGGGGGTGAGGGAGTTGGGAGGCGGTGTGGGGGGGGGGTTGTTTGGGCCATCAGGAGGAATCACAGTGCTGTCAAACACTGGTTCACTGGCCTCTGTGACACAGCAGAGCTGTTGGAGGAAGTATGAAGGAACAAATGTGATGTGAAAAAAAACCCCAAAAGTTTAGTTTTTCAAGTAAAAAAAACCTGAAATCCTTCAATGCTGATGTTGCTGATGTGGTTCTTTTTGAAGACAAGTTTGAAGTTTGGTGTCAGATTTTGGTTTTGATTGCATCACCACAGATATTAGCATTTATTTTTTATGGTTTTATTTAACGTGAAATCAAAGTGAAT